GTGGGGATGTGGGTTTGGGGCCCCCACCCACTCAAAGGGACAGGACACAGGGACTGGCTCGCAGTTAAAAGCAGGCGAAAAGCGGCTGGCTGGCCCCATGGGCACCAAGACTCATGACTAGTGATGTAGGGTCTCAACGCCAGTGACCTGCCTGCTGGAAGTCTAAAAAGAGGCAGTGACCCACAGCATGCCTAGGGACAACTAGTCGCAGGCCGGTGTTCCTAAACGAGACCACCCTTGCCACTTCATTGTCACGGAACCAAGAGGCCTTTCCCAGAAAGAAGCCCTCGAGCTCTCACTGACGCCCACTGCGCCCCTTCCTCTTCCTCTCGGGGCCAATGATGAGGTGCTGTTGTTTGAAGGCACTAACTAAGAATTGGGGTGGTGTGCTGTACAGTAAAACTGGTGAGTAGCACAGGTAGGGTTTCCGCTCAGTGGGAGAGAAAGGGATTACGCAATAAGCAGGGGCCCAGACAACTAGCTCACCATTTTTGGTAAGGAGATTAGATTCCCACTAAATTGCATAATACATTCCACATGGATTTAAAAGTGTCTATAAAGCATGATAGCAGGAAAATGTTAGCATAAATTATAGGTCTATGTTCACATACTCTTGGCCTGGAAAAGGCTTTCCTAGACAGAGAAGCATAAAGAAGAAAGATGGATAGATTTTACTATGAAATACTTTTAAAATTTTACGTCAAAAAACATTATAAATAAAAATAAAGGCAAATGACAAATTAGTAAAAGTTCTTTATACATGAAGAGAGATTATGTTCCTTATATACAAAATACATTTTTACAAATGATAAAGAATGATAAAAGAAGGCAACTTCTAATATTCACAAAATAACAAGAAAAAGCCAAACTGCCTGACAGAAAAGACGTACATATGTAAATCACAAGAAAAAAATACAAATGACCAATTAGTATTTTTAAAATGCTGAGCCTCACTGGAAAGCAAAGAAAGAAACAGTAGAACAACAATCAAATTATCTTCCAGTTAAATACTGAAACAATCAGGGATTCAGGGAAGAGGGGGCACTTGACCCCATGATCTGGTGACGCCCCCTCCCTTTTGGGGTCCCCTCTGAAACTGAACATTGCCCAAGGCATGTAGGTATGCTAAAGGAGTTTGAGGGTGCCCTGGGGGTACAGGAGCCTCTTGACTGTCAGCTGAGATCCAGATCCGTGAGGCCGACAAGCAGCAGTCTCAGAAAGATGATGTATGACGATAACCCCTTTTGTCTGATCAGTGAACAGCACCACTTTTGAGATGGCGTAACTTATCAGTCAAATAACCATGGAGAACAGTCCCCGAAACCGTAGTTAACATCTGCTGCAGGCTTACTGTGGGCCAGCACTATTCTAAGCATTTTATGTGTTTGCACATTTCAGTCCTCACCACAGCCCCAGGAAGGAGGCGCCATTGCCACAGGTGGGAAGGTCTGTTTAAGTCATTTGCCCCAGGTCGCAGAGCCAGGGCCGACATGCAAGCAAGCTGACGCTAGACCCAAAGCTCTTAATCATTACACTAGGCCACATCAGGTATGCCACCTCGGACCCTAGCAGGGGTGTGTCCAACTGCATGTGGCCCGGGATGGCCATGAACGTGGCCCAACACAAAATTGTAAATTAACTCAAAACCTTTTCTTTGCTCACCAGTCTTCACTGGTGTTTGTGTATTTAATGTTTGGCCCAAGACAAATCTGCTTCCAGTGCAGCCCAGAGATGCCAAAAGGCTGGACTCCCCCCCGCCCCGCCCCCCTGGGACAGCATTTACTAGCATGTATTTACAGAAACAATATTGTCGTCTCACTGCAACCTAAGAAGCAACGGCTTTCTCTAACAGGCTCTTGCTAAATTCCAGGTCAGTGGAAGATTAGAGACCCCCTTCACGGGCTCACTGTATCCGCTAGTGGTACCCCAGGATTCTCCTAAACACCGAGAGCACAGATTCTACAGAGCCTGCCCTGGCCTTACCTACATCTGCATCTAGTCAGCAAACCTTCGGGTGCCTAAATAATAACAACAGCTACTACCAGTGAGTGAAGAAGTAGGAAACCAGACTTTGACCTCAGAACCCACGAGTGTATGTATCTTCCCTGGCTCTGTTACGAACAGGCTTACCATGCAAACTCCCGCACATTGTGGCCTACTCAGCAATACCTAACCGTTCGTATATGAAGGGCCCCAGGCTTCAGTTTCAGCATGTCTCAAGGACTGCATTGGATTCACTGCTGTTCCTGATCCATCACCAATCACCAATGAGACCCCCAAACTCCTTCCAGTCCTACATTTCTATACCCCCTATCCTCGCTGCTAAAAGGGTATGTTTTATAGGGAAAAAAATGCCTTCCAAGAGGAAGAGCTCAACAATTATGTAAATAGGAAATGAGGAGAATAAACTTTGTGTGCTTCTGGATATGTATTAATACTGAAAAAGCCCAGTTAATTCTCATCGCACTTAAAATACGAAGGGCTTTGACCCCAACAACACCCTGTGTGCATAGGTGCATCTCAACACACAATTGGATCATATTTAACACTGGCACACACATACTCACAAGAAAACAACAGGAAAGATCTTCTCAGTCAAGAATATACAGTTATAAAGCTTTCCTAACTGTGACATTTTCCCTGATTATTTAGGAAAAAAGAGAGTTTTCATGTTTTCGTGGCCTTTGAGGATTTAGAATTAGCCATCCCGAACCAAAAGAATTCTCTGCTACTCCATTCTTTGTAGGGCTACCCTGGTCACAGACATATAATTTCAAGAAAGTACCTTAATGCCAATAAAGAATTCATCCATAGAGCAAATATGTAGTAAGTACCTATAATGAGGCAAGACATACATTATGCTGAGAAAGCATACATTATGGTGGTGATAAAGACAAAAAAAGGAGAAAGCCCCTGCCTTCCGAGGGCTTTAGGACACGGGCTCCTGCTTCCACTTTCCCATCAGCCCATTGGCACTGCTGCACCGAGACGCACACTGCCGAACGGGACCGATGCAAACCCCACGCGCAGCTCACAGCGCGCACCTCACTGCGCCCGGTGGCACTGCAGCGGCGCTGAGACCCACGGAAGGACTAGGTGACAAAGTGAAAGCTCCCTGCACACAAGAGAACAAGGACTCCGCGCAGGCTGATCTCATGTTAAACTGGTGCACTGGGAAACACTCGCCGAATCCAGTGGTTCTCCAGGCTGTGCAGTCACGCCAGGGACAGTGAGGTGGGGCCCTAGCCCGGCCGCTGCCCTCACAGGCTTGGCTCCCCTGCCCAGCAAACCCTGCCCGCTGTCCAGGCAAAGTGTAAAGATGAGAAGAATTTACACTCAATAGAAGGTGTGTGATAGCAAGGCATGTCGTACGCCTGTGTGGTCACAACAGAGTTGTCTGCAAGGGATTTTTCTCGGCGTTAAACTCGACATTAAAACTATTATTAAGATTTATCCTCTAATAGACTGGGGTTTGTCCAGACTACAGAATGTCTGTATCGCACAATACAGCCACCACAAACAGAGGGGTGGACCTACACATTCACAAGGAAAGCACTCCCGCACATACTGTGAGAAGTAACAGGGAAAAAGAGGTAGGCCAGCACATACACAGCGATGCTATGTGTGAATTTTTTTAGCCTCACAAAGCAATATTTCATTTCTAAGTGCAAAAGGTTTGAAAACACACAAAAACATATAAAAGCGACTACATTTCTGAGATCATAATAAAGAACCAAGCTGGAGAATTTAGCACCATGTATAATCTTGTAATTTTCATGGGGAAACTATGTTCATGTATTAACTATGTTATTATGAAATTTACTAAAAAGAATTAAAATACAGAACAATATCTCACCATAATTTAATGTGAATATTTATAATAAAATTGAGTAGTAAAGTACATTAAAACTAAGTCAAATTTCTTATAATATTCATATTTTTCTTTTGAAAACTGATTCATTCTCTTTTTAATCTAAAAAAGAACAGAGACTTAAAACTATAGATTCAAGTGAAAACCCGTGGTTTTGATCATCTTTTCCGTGATAGTATGTACCCTGGAAAAACCCAACCCCAAGGCTGAGCAGAAAAAATAAACCCCCGACACTGTACATGTATGAAGACAAAGGGAGTCTTGAAGGGCCTAGTTGAAGAACAGGACCCATGGACATGGACACTGAGGGGGCCTGACTGTGGGAATGGGGCATTGGGCAGGGCAGGGGAGAGCGGTGGGGGAGAAAGTGGGACAACTGTACTAGAACCACAATAAAAAGAGAAAAAGACAACGTGGGAAGCATTAAATCAAGCATCCTCACCAAACCCTTTAAACACCCTCCTGGCCGTTGTGTCCACGAGAAGATCCCGCGTCATTAAAGACGAGACTCGGCTTACCTGCAGCCCCAGGAGTGGGCGACACGGCAGGAGGCCCGAGAGCGAGAGGGACAGTCAACAGAGATGGGAAGGAGGAGGCGGGAAAAGCGGAAGTAACGAAACCAGGACAAAGAGTGTACTGAAGAGACACGCGTGGAACAGGACCCGCACTAGTGCCTGCCAGGGGTCACGTGACTGCTCCTGCGCCGAAGAAACTAGTGGCCTGCGTGTGTGCGGCAGCTCACCAGCGCTGCCACGCACACTGTCCAACAGGATCTTTGTAACGACGCAGTGAGGAGTGACCCCACTTTATGGAGATACACTGAGGTTCTGAGAGGGCAAGGGGGCTGCCAAAGGCCACACAGCTAACCCAGAACCAGGGACTGTGGACTCCAGGCCCAGAGTTCTCCCCAGAACGCCCGACGGCTGCCGCGGACTGTCCTTCCAAGTGCTGATTTTTCCAGCAACCGTGAGCATTTCAGGAAGCAGAGGCACTGTCAATGCAGGTATTGGTGTTTACATAGTAAGTTTTTTTTTTTCTTTCCTCCAGGGAAGCTAACTCTGAAAAAAAAAATCTCATTTTCAACATCAACAGACTGTAGTTGCGGAAAATGCAGTGACAGTATACTCACCTGCTTGTAAGTTCCATCTAGCAAGGTGTCCAGGTGTTGGAGGGGGGCAGGTGTTTTGTCTTTGAACCTTGTTAGCAGCCGGCGTTGAATGGCCCGAAACTGGACGGCTCTTTCAGATAAGAGTTCTTCCAATTTTTCACCATTTAGCCGCAGCTACAATGAAGAATTTCTTAAACTCATGTTAAATGTGCACAAAAACACATACTTAAAGTAAAAATACAGAAAATGCCAATAAAAGTCTGAAAGGATAATGAAGAAATTCAAGAGTGTCAGAGTCAAAAGAATTAAATTGGTGGCATTTGGTACATGAAAAAAATAGATAAAATAGTAGAATAGGTCAAATAAAAATTTAGTCAAGATACCTTGTATCACTGGGGAAAGAACAGATGATTTAAGTCTTGTGAAACAAAGACTTAAAAAGTCTTGTGAAAACTAATTAAATACATGGGAGAAAAGAGTAAGAATGTATCTCCTAGTATTTATAGCAAAATCAACTGCAGATGAATCAAAAAGTTTAGACACAATAAAAGTACCAGAAAATTAGAATTTTTAAATCATTTCAGCATAAGAAAGACCCTTATGAGTGCAGTCAAAGCTCAAAGCCACACACACATACTCATACACACCCACACAATAAAGTACTGAAAATAATTCCGTATGGTTAAAAAAATGTTTCACTCAGACGCACATTTTTCACTCCTTTCACAGCGGTGCCCACACTCCAGCCTCTTTCTTTTTCTCTACCTGAATAAAACCTGCTTTTTTCTTTTTCAAGATTTTATTTATTTATTTTTAGAGAGGGAAGGAAGGGAGATAGAGAGAGAGAGAGAAACATCAATGTGCGGTTGCTGGGGGTCATGGCCTGCAACCCAAGCATGTACCCTGACTGGGAATTGAACCTGCGACACCTTGGTTCGCAGCCCGTGCTCAATCCACTGAGCTACGCCAGTCAGGAAAACCTGCTTTATTCTTGCTCCGATTCATCCTCAAAATCATTCCTGGGCGAGTGGAGGCGCAGAGGCCGCCTGACACACAAGCTCCATGGCCTGGCCATGCGGGGCAGGGCCGGCCAAGGGGCCGCAGGGGCGCGGTAACAATTAGCACAGTCCACTCTTCTGTAAACCAGTGACACAGGACTTTATTAAAGTATACCCTAGGGAATGGCAAAGGTTATCAACCCTGAAAACTCCTAAATATTCCCAAATTGCCAATTTTGGTGCCCCAATTTGGTCAAAAGTATACTTCCCTATAACATATCTGCATATATAAGGGAAACCCAAGTAAGTTCAACTTTCTTTGATGATGACATGTTCATTTTTATTGGATTGTTTGCACTGAGATCTTCCCTGCATGTTCACACTATATTAAAAGAAGTCTTTATCACTTGAAGTCAATGCCTTTGGAGTGTTGAAAGGGACAGAAATTCGGCAGGATATTCGCATGACTAGCAAGTCACATGACATGTTTGTTCCCTCTCACTCTCTCTCTCTCTCACTCACACACACACACACACACACACACACACACCAGAGTTTATAAAATGAAATGCAAACACCTATCAATTTCCTAAAAAGCAGTCATGCTAGAAACCGATGCTTCCTTGAATGACATTCAAAATTCTTTTGGAAGTCTCCTTTGAATTCCCTTCAAAGTCTATTTATAAGCAAATAAGCAAGTAGAACATGGTGAATTTTAAACAAAGACCGTCATTGTCCAATTCATTCACAAAACATGACTCTAGACTATTCCCAATATCAAATCAGTCTTCAAAGGATAAAGACTGGACACCACCAAGATCCCCACGAGAATCCAAAACAGGCTTGGAAGGTGCTTCCACAGAAGAAATGTAAAAGCACTCAGGCAACCAAGTTGCTGTCGGATCTCATTTATTTAGACATTTCGCCATTCATCGTTTGCTAAGCGCCCGTTATGCCCGATACTGGAGAATATTATAGGTGTTTAGCCCTCATTCAGGTGTAGAAGGTCTGGTGCGCTTGTTAAAAAAGAAAAGGAAAAATCATTTCACTTTATAATCACACCTCATTTGTGGCTCGCTGGAATTAGTTAGCCAAATGGCTGCTGATAAGCTCCAACAGCTTCAGCACTGGGTTATTGGGGTCAGAGGTTAAGTCCCCGCGTGGAAGAATTAAATCAGCTCTGTTCTGCGGCCAGACCGCATGCTTAGCTCCAGGCGGCCCCTCTTAAAGGTCTGCAACTGATCACTGGCCAGGCAAGAGGGCAGGAGCGGACTCACGAAACCCACCGCCCACAAAAGAGCAACTACAAGCACGCGGCCTAAGAGTGGGGAGGGTGTGACAGGTCCTACCCCCCCAGCACCTCTCCCTTCTGTGCGCTCGAGAATTATGAATCACGTGGGCCGGGACCATACACACCTCGAAATGATGATCGATCAACTCGAAATATTCTTGAAGGGGCACGGATCCAGAAAAAGAACATGTGAAGTCTTTGACTCCCTGCTTGTCAAAATAGTCTTGAAGGCGGATTATAAGCTCATTGGTTATGAGCCAAAGATCTTCAAATTGTTCACTCTGAATGCGATATCGTTCTAAGAGAGAAAAATAATCACAGAAAATGCTTATTACTGGCTAAAAATAGACGCGTTATCACTAACTCTGATATGAATACCAAAACAAAAAGGACAGAGATTTCTTTTGTGGAATATGGAAATGATTTCTACCGGCTTGATCAAAATATTTCTGGTGTGTTACTGAGGTTTTCTGCATTAGCCACTTAACACTGTCAAATTCAATGCCAAAGGCATGTGGTCACAGTGGCGAGCTGCAGCGCGTATGGTCCATTTTACTACGTGTGTGTCTTATAACAGGTTTCAGTGCAATAAAAGGAACAGAATCCAAACTTGGGTCCTCCTAAAAGAAAAACGTTTTACTTAAAACGTAAGAAAACAGCCGTTGTAAAATATCCGGAAGGGGAAGGGATTAGTCAAAGGACACGTATGAGTGAGTGATGGACACGGACAAGGGAAAGGGGACCAGCTGTGGGAGGGAGCGGTGGGCTGGGTGGAGGGAGGCAAAAGGGAAAGTTATTGGGAAAACTGTAAGAGAATAAACAATAAAAAAATAAATAAAGCAGGGGGAAAAGAATACTGATGTGAAATACAGTTTGTTCTGCAGAGAGTCCCATGTCCTAGACACCATGGCCAGCTTAAATCCTTGCAGTCATAAACAAAGTTTTCTATTTTTCAAGTAGTTCTTTCATTTGAAGAGAGATTCAGCAGTCAGACCCTTCCCCAAATATAAATCTTATTTGTCTCCAGTCCCTGAGACCTTAGCTCCAAGACAGCGAGACTCTGTCCGTCTCCGCCCCTGGTGACCACTACAACAACGACGACAGCAGGGATGACAATGAGGAGGACCGCAGTGGCAGTAACTACGTCTATGAAAGAGAGCCTGTTGTTGTCGAGCACCAGCTATCCACCAGCCACTGTGACTGTAACAACCTTCTTTTTTTTAATAAAAAGGAAAACTAGGCACAGAGGACCTCAGACTTGCCGAAGGCCACGAAGCAATTTAAGTATCAGAGCTAGAATTCATGAGAGGCGGATAATGAGCTCATTTGTTACGAGCCAAAGGCCTTCAAATTGTTCACTTCTTCCCGACCTGCCTAAATCCTCCCTATGCTCTGGGACCTGGCTTCGCCCTCATCCACCCCGAGAAACCTGTGCTCCTCCACCGTCCACAGCAGCCCAACATGGGCCGAGGTGCATGCAAAATGAAGCACTGTACATTCACCTTCTTGTGTCACCTCAGCATCCCTAGGGGGAATACCATTATGCCCATTTTATGGAAGAATAAATCCAGTCCCGGAAGAGGGTAAATAATCTGCTAGCTCATCTGGCCAGTTAGTAACAGAGCAGGGATGGGAACTCCAGCTATTAATCGAAAGGTCAGCGTCGGTCTCCACCGCCTCCTGAAACTGCAGCTCTCTGAATTTCGGGAGGGACTTAGTATGTCTGCAGTTCACCACGCACTTAACCACACACAACCATGTATTCTTACTGAACTTCCCAGAGGATTATATTCAGTCTCTTCAAGGCGATTACACAGTTTTTGAGATCCAGGACTAAGCCTCCTATCCCACTCAACTTGCCGTTTGTTGAAGAAGGTGCAGTTTCAAGAAGAAAGAAATGCTGGGAGCACAAAGTGAATGTCTTCCTGCTTTGGGAGCATGGCATGGGACACACGGAGTATTGCTTTGTAGTCCTGATGCTAGCTCAACAAAGTCTATGAACATATCGTATCTTCAGCCTGGTCATTAGGATTTCCATTCATTGTTCTCTGCTGATATTCAGGAATATGCCTCTCTCATTCCCCTAATCAACCTCTCTTTCAGTTATGTAAGGAATAAAATATACTGGGTATGCCATGCCTGCCACGGTGCACGGCAAACACCCTGGTCCCCGCTGCTGTCACCCCATTCCCCGGGGAGCTCCCCCAGCCTCCCCTCACGGCCTTATTCTGGGCACTGGCTTCTGCCCATGGTGCTGATCAGATGATTTCCTCGATTCTCCCACCAAAGATATTAGGACCAAGGCCAGATATAGCAGCTTTTAGCTTTCTTTGTAAATGCCACTAAAAGTGGCATATGCTTTAGAAGAGAACCAGAGATCCCAGCTGTGATGGGGTGGGAGCACACAGGGGGGAGGGAGAATGATGCTGACAAGCCACAGTAGTAGAATCTGCTAGATGTAGGGTCCCCTACAAGCTAAGTTTGGGAGCTGACATTTTAAACTGGGACAGGTATTTATTTACTCTTTCATTCATGAATGTAACTTGGTGCAAAATGCTGGAGACAAAATCCTAATAAAGCAACAGACTCAGCCCGCAGGAGCTCATAGTAGACCTGGAAAGACAGGATAATGGGGGGAGTGAACTGCCCTCATTGATTCTCTGACTCCCCACAGAAGTGCCAGGACGCCCCCGACAGGCTGTCGGAATCTGTTAAGGAGGGTGGAACAACTCACCTGCAGAATCCACTAGCCCCGAGAGCTGATGGCACCAGAAAAGCCAACCCAGACAATGGGAAAACATATTCGCAGATGTATCTGATAAGGGGTTAATATTCCAAAATTTATAAAGAATTTATAAAACTCAACACTGAAAAAACAAACAATCCAATTTAAAAACGGGCAAATGATCTGAATAGACACTTCTCCAAAGAGGACATACACATGGCTAATAGACATATGAAAAGATGCTTGATGTCATTAATCCTCAGAGAAGTGCAAATTAAAACCATAATGAGAGATCACCCCACACCTGCCAAAATGGCTATCACCAACAAATCAACAAATTACGAGTGCTGGAGAGGATGTGGAGAAAAGGGAAGCCTAGTGCACTGTTGGTGGGAATGCAGACTGGTGCAGCCACTGTGGAAAACAGCATGGAATTTCTCCAAAAAACTAAAAATGGAACTGCCTTTTGGCCCAGTGATTCTGCTGCTGGGAATATACCCTAAGAATCCTGATGTACCAATTCAAAAGAACCCGTGCACCCCTATGTTTATTGCAGCATTATTTACAATAACCCAGATTTGGAAGTAGCCCAAGTGCCCATCAGTAGATGAGTGGATTAGAATCTGTGGTACAGTTACACAGTGGAATACTACTCGGCCATAAACATAGAAGAAAATTTTCTTACCTTCTGTGACAGCATGGATGGACCTGGAGAACATTATACTAAGTGAAATAAGCCAGTCAGAGAAAGACAAATACCATATGATTTCACTTACATGCAGAATCTAATGAATAAAATAAACTAACAAAACAGAAACAGACTCACAGATGCAGAGAGCAGACTGACAGCTGTCAGAGCGGCACAGGGTGGGGGCTGGGTGAAACAGGTGAAGGGATGAAGCAAAAACAACAACAACTCACAGGCACAGGCAACAGTGTGGTGATCACCAGAGGGAGAGGGGCTGGGGGGACAAATAGTGATGGAAGGAAACTTGACTGTGAGTGGTGCAGATGATATGTTATAGAATGCTACACCTGAAACCTCGATTACTTTATTAACCAGTGTCACCCCCCAAAATTCAATAAAACATGCAAAAAAAATTTTAAATGAAAGCCAGAAAAGTCATGTGCACTAGGTTCAAAGTAAAGGGAAAAGGAAAGAAATGAAATGCAATTTCCTTTGTGAAAGTGCCAGAATGCAAGACTATCTTTAGAAGAAGATTCAAGGTAACACTGCACCTATTCATTCATTCAAAAACTATTGTTACGTGGTAGGTGCTGGGGAGCTGATGGGAAATAACATATACTGGTCATCATATTAGTGAGAAGGGCAGAAAACAGATGCATGAATGACAAATACGCAGTTACAACTTATGAAAGGACCATGCTGCAGGAAACAAAAGAGGGAACTGTGATAAAAACCAGCGAGTGTTCTTTCTTGAGCTAACTGTGGTCCGAGAAAGCTGCACTGGGAAGTTGCCATCAGTGGTGGAACTAATGTGACAATGATGAAAACAGTATTGCCAGCTAAAATTTACCTAGCACTTAACAGTGTACCAGGAAATTGCTACATGCTTTTTAGGAATTATCTCAGTTGATTCTTACACGTTATAATTGTACTATTTCATCCCTGTTTGCAGGCACAGTAATTTTCCAGTCATTCAGACTAATTGTAAGCCAGAACTGGGATTTAAACTTTCGACTTTCAGTCTAAACCCCGTTCCTAATCATTTTGTGCACAAAGCTTGGACTTTAAGGATGGGAAGTACAGTCCAGGTAGAAGGAACGGCAAGCTCCAAGACCGCTGAGGAGACAAAATCAGACAGATCCCAGGGACTAAGAAAGGTCAGACGTGGGCCAGAGTGAGGAAGAGTGTGCCCTTAGAGGAGGCTGGATGTGAGGCTGAGCCGGAACACACGGGGAGACCCGTAAGGGTTGGTAAAGAGGTGGATATTATCATAACACAGAGGACTTCATGCTGTAGAGTAGCATGAATAATTTGTGTTTCTTTGTTTTGATTACAAGAGCTGCCAAGTACAAAATGAGTTGGAAAGGGGCAAGAACAGGCTTACGGTGAGGATATTATAATCACAGTCCGGGCGACAGATGGTGGTAGGTGTAGCAATTAAGGTCATCGCATTGGGCGGGGAGTTCCCATTTCTCAGGTCATTCCTCTGAGCAAAACTTAAAATCTAGCAAATTTTTAAATCTGTGACTTCAATACAAATATATTATCCAATCTTTAATGTCCTCATATACACAAAGGGAAAAATAAAACATACTTCACAACGTTGGCATGGAGATAAAATATAATGCTGCATGGGAAAGACCTATGTAAATGTGATTTATCTTTGAATTACAAAATTTAGATCAATCACAATTAGATGTTCAAAAAAATAATAGTCAAAAAATTAAAACACTCTGATACAAAAAGCGTGGAATTAAGTAAAACATCTAAAGCTCAATTAAAAATCCAAATATAAATAAAATTCTAGGTACCCAGCAGCTACTTGGTAGAACTGAATGTGTATATCCCCCTCCAAATTCCTCTGTTCAACCCTAATGCCCAGGGT